TTCTCCATCATTGTGAATGATTTGAATAATACCTAGAGTTATTTCTACAGATTGTCATACATGCTATTTGAATTTCCCATAAAATTCTTGATTATGACTGGTTCATCCCCATAATATACTTGTAACGAGTCTTTTCATTCATTCGAACATTTTTAACTTTCATACAAGATAACTACATCACTTTACATGTAAATAGAAAAACAAAAGCATAAAGAATCTGTTAACCAAAATACTTGTACTATCTTATCATTATAAGTCAATATTAATGTGACTATGGACATTGAATAACCCCATATGTTGTTGTTAAATTACAAACCGATAATTCGAACACTATTTCCTTCTAAAACTACTGAATATATGTCTAATCTTATTTACCGTTTCACTAAACATTAATCTTGTTTAACTATGTATTATTGTATTGTTTTACATATTATAATGATTAATTTTCAACCATTTTCTTGTGTACACATATTTCTGTACAAATGATGATATCTTGAAAGAGATTGGTTTGGTTTCTGATAGTAACAGAATATAATTCTACTGAGCTACTTTTTATACTTTTCTTATGTGAATTCACATATGATAGGTTTGGGAATATAAAAGTAAATTCCTAAATAAGATATTTAGAAACTAGGATAAGAATGAAAACACTTCTTCCAGTTAATGTATACACCATGTAATGATCTAGAAAATTAATGAATTATATATCAGACTCTGATTGAATGATTGTTTGCTCTATTATTCAATTTAATGTGTTGGCGGAGAAGATTTGTAGCTCAGGTGGATGATTTGGCTGGAGTTTTGTTCTCTGAGCTGGATGGTTTGGTCGTGGAGCATTCATCGTTCTTCTGAACTACATCGTCAGCACAAACTTCAGGTAGAAGTGAAGTGTTCGAATTTCTCTACATGTGGTTTACAACTTGTCCTGTACACCTCGATGTTGATTTGTTGAGAGGTTCAACTTCACTTCTACCTGATGTTTGTGCTGATGTCGTTCAGAAGAGCGACGATAACTCCATGACCAAACCATCCATCTCAGAGAACAAAACTTCAACAAAACTTAATGTGTTTCTAGAAGCTGTAGAAGTTTAACACCTCTATGTAAGTTTATTTTCTGTAGTGATGTGAACCTCAGAGTAAAGATTTCACTCATATTTTACTCTTTTACTTGATTGTTCGAGCCAAAGTGTAGAAGTTGTCTACAGTTATAGGAAGCAACTAAAAAGTCAGTAAAAAGAGTTGAGAGTATAATTTAAGGACGACCTTTGAGCGACACTGAAGTGACCGTGAAAGTGAAGACCTATTGATTAGGACTGAATGAGGGCTATAAAGCAGTTAGAATTCTCATTTAAAGTTAGGGTTAAAAATTAGATTCAGGGTTTCATCGCGAACTGACGTCAGCTATAATGCTAAAACTCTTGCCGTAATAGGCATTCGAGTAAAAGACTTTTCAATAAAGTTTAGGAAAATCCTGGTAATATTTTGACCAATCAGTGTCCATTAGAAACCTCTAGAAGAATACTAGACAAGCGTGGATTATTGTGGTGTTTGAATGAACTAAGGATACCATTGTACTTGTTGAATACTTGATTTCGAATTCTAAATACAATACATTCGTTTGTGCTCATCTAGTACTTCTTGATTCAATTGCGTTATTTCGATGATTCTTAGTTCATACGATAATTCAAATACTTTCAAATATTATAATTATGTTTTCATTATTCTAATTGAACCATCACTGGATTTGTCATCAATGTCATCATATCTTTTCCAGAAGATTCTACAAACTCAATGTCACTTCAATACCCATTTTTTTGTATAGAAACTAACCTTTCGATACTAACTTCTTCCATACATCTCGTCGTTTATTTCCTGTTCTGCATTCAATATAGGACGACTTCTTGGGGGGGGGAGGAATTTGGAAGACGTTAGGAGGTTAGTTTCCGAACGTTCAAGTGTGAGAGTTATCAAGAACTATGATAACAGTTGAAGCTTTCGGGTATACATAGTTGAGGATTTATAAAGTGGGATGAAAAAACTGCCTAGTTCTGTCATGTTTTTATTTCAAAAATGCAACTTTACACATAATCACCCAAATAAACCAGTATTTTTTTTTTCAGGAAGCGATAGAACTCGATATGGTGTTTTTATTAGGTCCAACATTCGTTCCGTATGAGGTGTCATATTACCTAACTAATCAATCATTCGGTGTCACTACATTCTGTATAAAAATGTGAACGAACCGATTCTTTTCTACCTGCCGTCAATCATTGTCTTAAGCCCTGAATCGTGAAAATTCCAGCTCTTCAATTTTTAAGACTAGTTTATCACAGTTATAACATTTATTTAATCAACCATGTTATCAATAGTCCGTTTGTAACTTTACTAACTACGATCTTGTGTAATGTAGATCCAAATACTTCAAGAAAATATCGATTTACATAAATGTCGTAGATGCATCTTACTAATAAATGCAAAACAAGTATAAAAATATACTTCAAAGTTCTACTCAAGATGGACACCAGTTGATCGATGTTATTAAGAAGTTATTTTGGTTGATAGCGATAATTCATATACACAATTCATATACATTACAACTACTGTAGTGAACGACAACACAAGTGAGTACAACCAAATGTATTCTAATACAATATTACATTATATCTTGGTTAATTCTGAGGATCATACAGAATTACGTCATCTGAGAGATATTCATCAATAATCTCAGACTTCGTTTCCATACCAATCACTTTCTGTTCTCGTTCTTTTCTCTTCGATTTTCTAAACCTTCTGCCACCAGGTTTTTCACTTTCGATTGGTGTGTACATATTATTTATGTTTGTTGACATCAGTAGCACACACCATACTACAACTGTAGATTAGAACATGAAGCATTTGTTATTAAGCTAAGAATTTATAAGCGCAGTCAGCTTTACAAACCAATACTATATATATGATAATTAACTTATGTATTTTACAGCATGAAATTCCTTAGTTAGATTACCATTGTAAACAGGAAGCAATGGACAGGTGCTTCAGTCTAGTTTGGGGCTATTTAGCATGACGCATCCATGACCCCACTGAAGATCTAACTCGAAACTCTCATGTATTGTGGAGAGCGCAGTCCAAGTGCTAATCACTTGCTTTGAGTCATGAAGGGTTTGTTTTCAAATAATAGATAAATTAATGAATGCTTCCTTCTGGAGAGTCTTATGTTAGAATAAAACAACTTTCGAGTGCTTTCCGGTTTTCAAAAGTTATCCAACTATGATCGTTTTGTTATGTAAACTACAAAACTAAGCAATCCCCTCAAACCCCTCACACTAATTACGTTCTATCAAGTAAGTCTCAATATTTAATTTAAGTTTTCTCTGAATGATTCTGTCTCACTATCTTTAAGTCTATTTAAAAAAGATGAATTGATGATAAAGCCTATTTTATTGTCAATACTCATCATAGACTGACTGATCTTACTCGAGGTACAATTTGGAGCTAAAGAGAGCTGATTAGTTTTTTCGTTTTAATATGGAGCTGGAACAACCTCATCAAGGAATGAGTATGGTATTAAGTGGTTTTTACGTTATATTACAGGCTTTTTGAAGTTGAATAGGCACAGTAAGATGATGACACCATGGCTCTAATAGATAGACCTAAGATTCCTTTTTTCAATAGTTATCGTGTTGTTGGTCAACACAACTGAAAAGTCTCATACTAAAACGAAACATCCATTCAGTTCCCTCTAATTTTCAATGGTGCTTAAACGTTTGATGAATACAACCTATACATTTAATCAATCTTTTAGATGATGGTTGGAGATAGGTCAGTCGCGGCTGGGACAGCTCAGTGCTAACGTCTCCGACTGTGAAGCTGGGTGACACGAGGTCGAATCCGCTAGGGAGCACCAGTTCCCTCAAGATTACAGGTACACCTTGCTGACGAGTGCCAAGTAGCACGAAACCCGGGTCCAGGGTTTCCTGTTGACTACCTCCAACCACCACCTAAATCTCAATATATAGTGCCCGCAGTGTCGAGTCACCTAGACTGGTGGCCACATTGCAACATGATCGATAGCATTGGATCTGCACTAATAAGGACTAGACACGAATGACATTGATCACCACCCAGTGATCAATCAATTGTGATTTAATCAATCTTCACATAATCTTATCAAATAAAATCTATTTGTATGTTAAATTCTTTGTAACGTTTTTTTTCTCTCTTTTGAATCGATGACATTATTAGGAAAACTAGATTAACTCATTTATCACATCATTAATGATATATATATATAACCAAAATAAATAACACTCTGAAGATATAATCTTTAAGCTTTTTTTACCTCCCACATTATATATTGAAATTGACCGCTCGTTATGTATTGAATATTTCATTAGATTAGACGACATGTTACATAACACGTCTGTAGGCGTTGAAATAACGGAACTCAAATAAGATTCCCGTCGCTGAACACAACATGGCAACTACCTTTGTTGGTTGTGTTTGTCGTTCTGATCTATATATATGTATTTTGAGACAAAGTAAATACGACATTCTAAGCAAAAATCTGATTGGTTAAATTCAAACTTTGATTATTTATCTCTGATTGGTTCATATATGTCTATTCGACTAGTTTTCGGCCCATTGATTATTGTTAAAATTAACCAATAAGAATGATTTTATGTAGGTTGCTATACAAATTAACCATCACTTTACAAATTTTTTTAAAAAAAATAAAAAAAACAGTATGTTTTACACGTGGCATTGGAATAACCAAACCACATTTAGTGTAGTTATTCACATTTTGTATTATTGAGAATTTAATCAGAACCGGGATATAAATCTAACTGTGCTGGTATCCAGGACTTTCATCATCATTATCACCATCATCGTATATATACATATACATAACCAATGGCTGAATTTCGTAAATGTTTTGAAAACTTAGATACTGAGAAACGTGGTGTAATTACAATTGAAGATTTAAAAAATTATATGTATAAATGCATTATAAAGAAACATTCTTACATAAATGGATTGAATTATTTGATCCTGAACATACAGGATTTATTACTTATGAACAATATTGTAAAACACTTGGTTTAATACCACGTAAACGTACACTTAGTAAAAATTTAACAGATTCTACATTATTATCATCATCAGTATCATCATCATCATTGTCTATTTCATCAAAACAAGATAATGTCAATGAAACATTCATTGGTAGTTTTGATAAAAATGTAAACGAGACTAATATTACTACAATCATTCAACAGTAAGTAGTACTTTATATTATTCATAATTTTATTTTATGATTGTCATAAAATTTGTTTATGAACGCTTATTTAATAACAAATAACACGAATTCCAAAATGTTGCTTTAAAGAGTGACATCCTAACTTTCAATATCCAATGGAAAACACAATCATTTGTATTGAGAAATCTGTGTGGTTTTAAAACTCTACTTGATTTGTATCAGAAGGCGGTTTTGTGGTTATTATAGTAATTTCATTGATGTCGAGAAGTCCCACAATAGGACGAAACGGCCGTCCAGTGCTTCCAAGTTTTCCATGGTGGTCTAGCTTTAATTGACTCATGATCTTAACGAATGAAATCTTGATATATTAAAGATTTCTTCTATACTAAATAAACTGACTAAAACTAGCAGACCACTTTACTGAATGTTGTGTCTTTAGTGTATTATTCTGGCTTTCCAACTTTTAGTAAATGATATTTTAACTCAGTTAAAGAGGTTTTATGGAGATTAGCTTAAGCTATCAATTGTATTTGTCACAAACTGATCTTAATTGAGATTCCATTGACATCAGGGAGCAATGAAAAATTGTCTGGTCACGATATTGAGCTTCCCTATTTTTGGAAACTCACAACCTCATTTTGAAGCTAACACACTGTTTTTAAGTCTCTCAGCTTACAATTAGCCATTCAAACCACTGGTTCGACTGGCGTGGGTACAATCTCAATTTGTAATAGTTAATCGTTTTCTGTAAGATCCGAAGGTCATTGATAAGAACAGCTTAAGAATTCCATACTAAGACATGATCCTATTTCTATCGACCTTACATTTTCTGTGTTAGTCTGTGGAGGTCTTACTATCATTGTAGACGATATGACTAGCACTTATTTGAAGTAGAGATGTGAACTTCCAGATCCATTAAAAGTCTTACTGGTCAACTGTGGCTAGTGAAGTTTAACTATGTTGAGTGTGAAGTAGTTACGTGTCAATTGTACCGGTTGGTCGAGGGATATCTGAACGCAGTATCTAAGTGTATAACTCTACGGTGTTTGAAGCAAACAGTACTGGGTTTGAGTCTCAAAGTAAACTTCAAATTTGGGATAGAGGTACATCCAGCTGACAAGTCCAGGTGATATAACAAGAGTGACAACTAAGAATCAATTTCTTAGTATGTTGCTAAGTGATAATTAACATTATAATCAATTGATTCACCTGTACTTCAAACAATTCTTTGTTTTTGGTCATGTGATTTTCTATTTGTATTGTATAATTTATTTGTTAGTCAATCAACAAAATTCACTTCAGTTTAGTCATGACTATTTCAAAAGAAAGAAAGGAATTTTTAATTATCAATTTTTCTTTCGTTTTTTTTGGTGTCTAGATTTGCATGTTTTTTCAATGGTGTTTAATGAAGTTTAGTTTATTATACAATCAATAGATTGATAGTGTAATGACATAATAAGTAACTAATTTTATATTGATGAGCATTTATGAATAAAAGAATGAGAATATAAGACATAAGTAAAGGAGGGAATGCAACAATAATAATAATAGTAATAATAGGATAATCAAAGTAATTAAGGCCAAGGTAACGATAAATGGTTACCCAGAACGTTCCATAGAAAAGAATATGAAAAAAAAGTAGTTGTGACAAGAAACCAAGTTGTTCCGTCCCGAAGAAAAATCTTTATATAAGTCTGGAATTTAAAAGTGATCGAACATCAGACGTAATCAAAAATTGTCTAAAAATAACGATTCAGTCAGTCAGTCAGTCAATAACAACGTAGAACTTCGTATGTACGTACATCAGTTCGAGTTGCCATACCACATTAGCACAGAGATGCAGTTGTCGATTCGAATCCCTTAGTGGTAGAGGTAGTAAGATTATAAGCAGTAATCAGGAAGATTAGGGTTTGGAGATGTTATTTAAAGAGTATAATCTAGTGAAATAAATTTGGGAAGAGAAAAAAAAGAGACAAGGAGGAATCAGGAGATTAGAATTTGGGAGAACACAAAGAGTGTATGCACCTGATTCATTGCAAACGATTTTGAGCAATGTGATTCAGGGTCTCTAACCATCGGTTGCAATCATCTCGCGGTCCCCAACCAGGTAGTCTACACCTACCAACAATGATTAGAAGAACATTTGACGCGGCTAAATGGCGAATAACCTTCACTTGTAGGAACTTATTTTCTGTATCCATAAAAGATAAGCTTCCACGTCTGGTCGCCTCTATTTGCATCTACCAGTTCACCTGCTCTTGTAGAGCAAGGTACATTGGCCGTAGCCAGCGCTCGCTTTCAAATTGGATACGGGAACATATAACAGCTTGGTTCTATAAGAGTGGAAGGAAAACAGTTAGGAGTTCTATACTTGAACACCTAATCGACGGTAACCATTCTACAGATCCACAAAGGTTCATATGATTCGTTCAAATCTACCCAGATTTCTTCGTATCCAACTCTTAAAAATAGCCGAAGATCTTACCATCCAGGAGCTTAAATCAGAACTATGCGTACAAAAGAAGTACGTCTTATCGTTATCGTTACCTTGGCCTTAATTATTTTGATTATCTTATTATGATTATTATTATTATTGTTATTATTATTATATTCTCATTATTTTATTTGTAAATGCTCATCATATCACCTTATTGATTTCTTGCACCTCTATGACCTTTAATTATTATAACAAAAACTAATTTTATATTGTTTGTTTGAGACTTCTCATTGATGTTTAAGACTGTAATTGATCTATCTCTTATTGGCATATATGTATCCTGCCTTCAGTTACTAGGATTATAAGCAAAGATGGATAGTGGCTAGCAGTGAAATCCAGGACACTCATTTTGTCCTAGTGGCTAGTGGGACCCAGTGGCTAAATGGATAACTCGATGGCGTCTGAAGCGGACGATACTGAGTTTAAGTTCTAGGATGTAGGTACATCTAGCTGACGTGTCCCAAATAAGATGAAACATGCATCCTAGCCATTATCCATCTTTGCTTATAATAAATAATTAATTTTTGACTCCATTGAGTTTTTTTATTTTGAAAATTCAATTTTTCATCGTATACATGAATTTTTATGCGGGTAGTATTATAACATCTTCATTTGCATTTGAGTTTGTTACGAGACTATGATTTATGGATGAAACGATGAAATTAATGATATCAAGTCTTGGATTTCGGTCCGAAGTTTGAGATTAAGATTTTGAAACTAGTTGGAAGTGGTCAGGAATTCATACCTACAATTTTAAGGAAATCGATACTCCCAGTTGAATTCAAACCACCCATCACTCAGGCTCACAAACTGTAACGTTACCACTGGGCTGTTTTAGCCTTGTGACATGTTTGCTGATAGACTTAAATACTTTGATTCTTAATAACGACTTCATCAAAGGATTGTACCCGACAACTTCAGTTCCACAGTGAACATCTACTTATTCAAACCACTGGTTTAGGATCCAATGGTACAATTTCAAATGTGAATAATTTATGATATTTCACCAAGATGAACACCATATTCACATAAGTGGTTACTTCAGTGGCGGTAATATAAAAGAAAGATTGTATATAGTGATATAATACATGAAGAAAGAATTAGTTTGTAGAAAGAAAGATACAAAGCAACTTTTATCTCACAGTTTAAGGGAAGACAAAGAATGTATGCACCGACGCAATTGTGATCTATTCTGAGCTATATCACCTAGTCTTCAACCATAAGTTGTGATGGTCACACAGACCCTAACCAAATAGTCTACACCAAACAACATGGTTAAGACTAGAAGTATGTGACTTCAAGCACTGATTGCACGTTTTAGTTTGACCGCCCCAAACTTTCTCCCACCCGTCTTCAACACTAGTCAGCATTGCGCAACGTGGTAACCGATGTTCAGGCACACGTAACCTATGTAGACTTACAATCTCACCAACTGATTTACCATCATTCCCTAGTACCCTGCGTCTAAACTCACTATTGCGTACCCGGTGATCCTAGCAAGTAGGAGCAATATTTCGAAGACATCTGTCATCAAATACTAGTAATTTCCGAGTATCTTCTACTCCTAATGGCCACGTTTCACAGCCGTAAAGTGGAACAGAGCGAGCTGCTGCGCAGTATACTCGTTTTTTAATTGATAGACGGATATCTCGCCTTCGTCATAGGTGACATTAATTTGCAAAAGCCAAACGAGCTTTTTGAATCCGTACAGAGATCTCGTCAGACACCAACCCATTAGGGCTGACAGAATTCCAAGATAAGTGAAGTTGTCGACGCGTTCGACTACTTCACTCCCTATCCTTAGTTCGGGTGTTGACGCAGACCAGTCTTGAAGCAACATTTGCATTTAGAAGGGGAGAAACACATCCCAAATATCCTGGTATTGTTACTCAGTGCTGCCAAAAGACTCTGCATTTTATCAGCGTCTTCGCCAAACTGCACTATATCGTTACGTAAATCGATAAATGGACCTCCTGGAAAGAGATCAGTGCCCGAACATTCAGTCAATGAGGTGTTATTTCCATCTGTATGTCTATGATGAAGTTGAACCAAAATGGATATAGTGGACAACTTTGTCGGGCACTACTTCAGGTCGCAAAATCAGATGACAGTTCCTGAATGTCTACCAAAAATGATAGTTATTCTTGACTTTAAAGCAGCATTTGACTCTTTAGACTGAAAGGTTCTGTAGGAGTGTCTGCCATTGAAAGGTGTACCTTCAAAGTACATAAACCTTGTGAAGTCTCTTTACTCGAACACTACTAGTTGAGTCTGAGCTTATGGCGAACTGTCATCTGATTTTGTGACCTGAAGTAGTGCCCAACAAAGTTGTCCACTATATCCATTTTGATTCAACTTCATTATAGATATACAGATGAAAATAACACCTCGTTGACTAAATTTTCGGGTATATAAAATGGTAAACAATCACAATTCCGACTGATGAACTAATGATTGAATTAATATTTAATTTACTCATACCTTGGCCGATTATTTTTTTCACTCATCAGATAATAAATTT